ATAGCCGTCTTAAGTGTAGATAAAATCTATCGGCTACCTATTACTGATTGAAAATCGCAAACAATTTCGAGTTTTGAAAGCGGGCAAACATTATTTGACATCAATTGAAATTAAATGGCCATATTACATGTTGGGGCAACAAGTACAATGCATTCGGTGGTTCCATAATCCCAAATGACAGTTTACTCGGTTAAATAGAGGCGGCGATCAACCGCGTCGCTGGATTTACTTCGATTCGCTATTCTCCAGAGGCGTTCACTCGCACAATTCACAATTTCCCCTAAATCGGGATTTAGAATGTGTGATTCCACCGAATTTTACCCATACAGGCATAATGCGGAGGTGATTTCGTTTCACGCCAATGTTTGTGTTCGAAATTCGAATTCAAGTTTTATGCAACGTCGCGGGAGCATGAAATTGATTCGCACATACTACGGGACGGAAGGTTCTGGCTATGATTCATTCACAAAATTGTCCATTCATAAACGTTTACAACTACGGTACTACGCGCGGCCAGGTAGACATATTTTATGAATGAATCTTTGCACTCATATTTGTGCATTGACCATTTCAAGTTGATGGCACTCGTGTGTAAACCATGACTTGTAATTTTATAAATCTTGCACGCATTAAGTAAGTACACATTCTTCCTTAGGTATAACGTCTATCATTTTTGAAAAATAATACTTAGATATTTTGATTGATCTTGCAATCCGAGGGTCTTTCTATTGGGTAGGTACCTCTCGAAAATGAAGTAGAGTCATCTTACGAGCACATTCACCGTAATTTAATTACTTTACAAGACAATTCGTCTCGCAATAAACTTGGATTTGTTCTTACTTCAAAACGAGTGTCATTGAGTTGAAACACTTGGTTTAGGAGTGAGTAATTCCTTAGCCATTCATCCGAAGGGCTCATTGAGGGATCAATGGGCGGTACTCTAAACACTGGCTGGTGAATAGCCGGCTATTTGGTGCAAGTGTTTTAAAGTGCGCAAAAAAAAGTAAGTCAGGTACAATCCGGATGCGAATGGTCCGGACACGTCGTTCCCACGCTGACCGGACAGTTAGGTCAAAGAGGAAAGAAAGAGACACTAGAGGAGCGCGTATTGGATCTTTACACTAGCACAACACGTATAGCTTCCGTTTCAATTTCCGTAACGGAGGCTACTATGGGCATATACTGATAAACAAGAAGATTTAAACCCAAGAATAGATATTAAAAAGAAAGTTGTGTGTTCAAGGAATTTGAAATTATAGAAAATTATCATTACAATTAACGCAGTAGCATAGTAATAAGAACTGAATATTATATTATAAGATCACACTTAAAAATACTTTGAATCTGTAAAACCATTTATTTCTCATAGACAGCAAAATAGGTAGAGTTATAAATAATTAGTTAATGTAGAGGTACCATTCAAGTACATTATGTAAAAATAAGACACAAAAGTACCTAAAGTAAATAGATACGCTAATGATTTTCTCCTTCTTTATCGCGTCGGAGGACATCGATGTTACAGAAATCTTCGCAAAGCTCGATCCACAAAAACCCTTCCATCCTCCATATCTTTTCAATAGTTTTACAAAGTGACAATTTCGGCACTTGCTTTGTTTTCTTACGGTTTGTCTTAGACAGACGACGGTTTAGAAAAAGTTGGATAGTTAAGGACAAAGGGCCACATGTGGCTGGCATGGCAACACTGACAAATACAATAGAAACAAGTAATTTGGCTAACAGATGTTGGAGTTTGTCTATTTGTTCTGACACGATCGTTATCTGTTGGAGATTTCTTTGGATTTGCAGAAATAGAGTTACTATCAGGCAAGTTTCTTTATCATGTAAGTAAACTAATGTTTTTTTTTCATAATATACCTACCTCGATATCAGTAGGTATTAATCATACACATATACAATCGTAGGTATATCACGCCTGCATTCCTTGCGGGGTAGGCAGAGCGTAAACGGCTGTACAGAACGGCCACTTACACTAAGTCTAACAAAATATTTGAGAGTTATTTATAAGACAGTGTATCACCATAGTGGCAATTGTCAGCCTGTCGCCTAAAATTGCAATTCATATTCAACTCTCAAATCCAAAAGTTGCCTCTTACTACACCCACTGGAAAGATAAGGGTTGATGCTATTCTAAGCCGGTATCATACGGCATATTTAATGGAAGTATGAATCATCCTATAAAATATTACTAGTTCCTTATCATGTGATACTATAAATATAGATATGCAGCTAGCGCCACCACGAGGATTTTGTCAAATCTTTTGACAGGCATTGTATTTGTATGTTAAATTGATAATAAGGTGAATATTCGCATGCGATAAAAAATCGCAGCAACGGACGTCAAAATGTGATACCCGCTGTTTTTCAGAAATGATGTTCGTATCTCACACAAATAATAAAAGTACTGAATGGCTGTAGGTAAAATTTTATGTTCGTAAAAAAATGTATTGTTCGAATTTCAGACACGGCAATATAAAATCAATTGTTGTGACAGTGTGCAGGAGCTCTACAAAAATACGTAATAGTAGAAAGAGATATGCCTAAGTTGATAGTATCGCCATCAAATCCACCTACCTATTTAAGGGACTTACTTATGCCAGTATTTCATACAATTACTAAGAAATACTAGATAAGTTGATCCCTTAAATGGGTAAGTGGATTTGCTGCCGATAATCTAACGTAACCTAAATTTAACCTAACTAACCCTCCTTAACGGCTACAATAGTGTCTTTAATGTATGTAGATAGATGCCTATAAGTCTTTTTAAACGGGCGCCCTAATTCAAACGTAGGCTTCAATTCAATTCAAATACAATTCACCTAAACACATTTTGTATGAAATTCTTTTAACTATTCGCGAATCAAGAATTTCGACCGTGACATGTATGACCCAAATGCCTACGACCGTTTTAATGTATTTCTGAAAGTATAAATAATGAGACGACTCAGAAAATAAGACATTTTGTATTCAGCATTGAAACTACTATTTGAAAACCTTGTATCTTTCTGCTTTTGTGCAAAACAAATTACATTTGATGTAATTCCAGTATTTTTTATCACACATACAAATATTCTTAAAGTCTCCCTTGTCACCCAATTTAGGCGATACTTCAGAGCCACCACACCGCATAATTTTAATGAAACATTCTCTATACACAATACGTTCTAGGAAGTTCCGCACGGAAGTAGCCATTGACAAAAGAGTGTTTAATCTGAGCCATACAAGGCATGTTTGGTGTGGCCAGTGGTCAGGGAAAAAAATACGGGACTTCTGAATGAATCGCGACCACCCAGAGAGGTTTGTAAGTACGCGACCGCGGAATGCCTCGGGTGGTTAATAAGTTCTCGGACACGAATTTTGCGTTATTAATTTTTACAGGTTGGTAGGTTGGGTTATCACCCATATGAAAAAATATAGGTATATCTTTTAGTAGTTAGTGTTACGACAACGATGCGTGTCATTTTAAAGAGTTGGAAAGTTCAGTTTTTTTTAGATCCGTAAACAACAGAACCAAACGTAAAACAGAACGTTAACAGCCTCAATGTAAATTACCTACCTATTCATGTGATTTTAATTCGGTAAACTTACACAAGAGCTGATTTGCATCAATAGTCTTGTCAGTAAATAGTGCTTCGTAGTGTTCAAAAATAGATAGATAGTACAATGAAAAAAACATTATTTGGCATGCTAACAAGGCGCTATGCGTACAGAACACATCAATTTGTGTGAATAATTGATCGTAGTCATGACGGAAATACGTTTGTGTGTTAAGACAGCAGGAACTCGTGCCAAAATTTCTTCGGCCTTTGCCGTAATCAACACTGTGCCCGATTTTTTGACGGTCGACTTATTTTTACATCATCATTGGTATTACATCAGCCTTGAGTTGTCTATGAAAGAAATCATTATTAATCTTTTCTACTCAGTACCTACCTAATAGAGTGATACAATAATAGTAATGTATTGTGCTCACTACTTGTACGTATTGTAGGTACGAGTAGCTGAATCTAGTTTTACGAATGGTTGTCATATTGATATTTGATTGATTCATTGACAGTTGCAATTTTTTTAATAACTTTCGTGGTCACTTTATATTAACCTGAATATTTTTAAACATTTCGTTTCAGTCCCAGTTTCCCACAAAATGGATAGGCAGGCGGTACAGTAGTATACAGCCGTATAACAGAAAACCGACAACTTTCTCACCACCCCTGCAGCCAACAGTGTCCATTCATCACACCTTTTAATTCCAGCCCACATTACCATTGTCACCAGGCGTTATACTGTAAACTCCTCTCATTATGCCGCGCACTTTGTATAAAAATATGTGCTCGACTATAAAGGTAAACATTGGCTTTTTTTCTAAGGAATAGATAAAAGTTGTTTGGGGCCGTCACTGACAGAGGCATAAAGGGACAATGAATGGCCGGTGAATGCAGGACCGCACACTCGGAGCGCAGACGCAGCGTCTCGTATGCCGATGATTGGGCAGTAATTTGAGTGGACGGACGGTTTGGAACGAAAATATTTTTGAAGCATCTATGGTCGTTTGTTCATATTATAAATTCAAGTTTAAGTCTATGACAAATAGTCAATTCCTTTACACAACCATGTCAGAGACCAGAGGTTGGTTAAAAAACTCTGACACCAGGGTTCATCGGGTCGTTGAACGACTTGGTGTCCCACACGAAAGAGAGAGAGAGTCAATTCCTTTACCCTTAATTATTAGTACTTATTGGTATTCTTTATCAATATTTTTATTATTTTTTGAAAATCTTGCTCAAGTAATGGGCTCAGTTATAGAAAAAATAATAATAGCTTATGAATGGCATCTTAAAGATTTCTAACAATATAGGTACAATGTGGCTAAGTAGGTACCTAAATAAGTGGAAGAAACACTCACTAATAATAAACACCATCACATCAGAAGGTAAACTGTGCCAATTTTACATATGTGAAAATAAGAAATAGAAAAGATGACGTACATCGACCGGGGATCGAACCCGGGCCGCATGGGTAAACGCCCCACCGCTCTGCCACCGAGCTATCGATGCACGGCCGATGGACGCCAAATTTTCTATCTCTTGATGCTCGTCTCCAAGCGACGATCCAGCGATCGTCATCATCGTACCGATAGCTCAGTGGCAGAGCGGTGGGGCGTTTACCCATGCGGCCCGGGTTCGATCCCCGGTCGATGTACGTCATCTTTTCTATTTCTTATTTTCACTTGTGAGAATAATATAGCACTGTGAGTGCATTACAATCCCAATAAATTTTACATATTTTAAGTGCTTTCAGAATTGATTGTTACATGGTTGTAAATCAAGAAAGCCAGACGATTGGCAAGATAAACAGAAACACGTTTTGCTATTTGCTACAAAACAAATAAAATAACTAAATTACTATCAGTAGCACTTTGAGTTACTTTCAGGGACTAATCAAAATATGTAAAAATTAATACAATTGCCGTGTGATGCCGGCTTAGAAAAGCATCACCCCATTTCTACCCGTGGTACAAGGTGACTAAGGGATGTATCCAGGGAATTGGCAGCAGCGTTCTCTGCGAGCACAACACCTTGCACCGCACTCGACAATCCGCCTGCCAAGCGTGGTGAGTATGGCATTACCCACCGATTGGGGGAGGCCCATGTCCAGTGGACTGTTGTGGCTGTAGTAGCAGTAGTACGTAGTATTTCCACAATTTGCATATTAGTCAAATACGCTACTTTTTAACACATGTCTTTGTATGAATATTTATTACGTCGTCACTATCAGTGTAAACAAATGACGTCAAAATAAGAGATATAAAAAAAAACGGCCAAGAGCGTGTCAGACACGCCCACAAATAGGGTTTCGTAGTCAACGTTTAAGTATCAGGTTTTTCAGCATTACAAACTTAATTTTGTTGCTGGTTTGTTAGCAGCAGTATGATGACCAACCGCAAATAGAAAAACTCAATTTTTCCTGAAACCTTTCAGGGTACGATATCCGTTATAGTTTTCATTGTAACTTCAGATTGTAAGCTATATTCCATATTTATTTCAAATTTTTAGCGTTTATACTTTAGAAGTTACAGCTGGAACAAATTATGGGTCAAAAACGCCCTTTTTAAAAGCAAATATCTCGTGACAGAAACATTTTAGAGAATTTGTTTCAAAGAAACCTCACCTTAATTTTAAAAGACCTATTCAACGATACCCTACTCAATATTACAGAAGAAAAAAAAAATTTTTGCCCCCCTTTCACTTGTATGGGAGGGGGTCCAAAAAACATTTTAAATATTTTTTTCTTAACATTTATATATTTAGGTCAACACGATCTATCTTCTCACCAAATTTCATGTCGATAGCTCTAAAACTGACGAAGATATGAGGGCGCGGCATACAGACAGACAGACAGACAGACAGACAGACAGACATGACGAAACTATAAGGGTTTCTAGTAGACTACGAAACCCTAAAAAGTGATTTTTGGTTTAATTCTTTCTTCTTCTTTCCTCTTTTCGTGTGGGACACCGAGTCGTTCAACGATCCGATGAACCCTGGTGTCAGAGTTTTTCAACCGCCTTTAATTCTTTCACTAGGCACGTTTTGAATAACATGTGACGAGAATAGTAATCTTTTTGGACAATTATTTTGCATTTTATTACTTACCCATGCAAGTACCGAGGTAGGCCTTTTTGGTACACCGCCCTTTACACCCGGTATCTATATGTATGTCTATCCCATTTCGATAGTCAATCCAATTCAATCGGTAAGTCCCTGAAAAATCACAACCTTTTGTATTTTCAAAAACTCCGACTGTAATGGATAAAATTATCAGCTAACGGTGTTACACTTTGACGGATGCCCAATAACTTCTCGGGAGCAACTACGGTTTTTCCGGGGTTTTCCCACAAACAATAACAAGAACCAGTACCTATATTCCCTTTCATTTTAATTTTGTTCCCTTTACTTTAATCCCTTAAACGAATAGGTTGATGTGCTGGCGATAGTACCTACCTACGTATCGAGTCCATTTATCAACTCTCTTCAGAATGAAATGCGCCAAAGTTTTGTTTGAAGTCGATACGAGATACCTAGAGATAAGTAGCCATATCTACAGTATGTAAAAATATTTGCTAATATGATTTGTATATAATCTTTATTGCATTACATATACCTACAGAAAAATATTTAACGAAATTCGTTGCAAGGGTGAGCTTATCTCTATAAAGAGATCTCTTCCAGTCAACCCATGTAATGACTTAAAGAGGTAAAGAATTGAACGGAACAACTTTATATTAGTGAAAATTGTTCAAACTTGTGGGCTGATATAGTTCAATCAAAATCATAATGTCATGAAATGACATAAACAGCCTAAGCGGGAGGCCAATACTTAGATACTACGTGACCAGCGTAATTTGGCTTTAAGTTTAGGCCGATCATGTCACTATGATTTTGAATGGACTATACCACAAGCTGATACATCGTGAATCCAAAACTGCCGGACAATATTACGGTTCATGTCAGCCAAGATACAAATATGTCAACCAGACAGCTGATATTTTGACGCAGCGACGTGTATCGTGGCGATCTTGGTATTCGGTTTTTGAATCGGATTTCTTTTCGTTTGACAACCGGATCCGTCAACACACCGGAAGAACGTGCGGTAGCTGTGAGAACCGTTTAATATACGCCATTTTATTACATCCTATAGTTTGATCGCATTCCGTTCCACTGGTCGAGCTATTTCAGCCTCTGACTGGGTTATAAATACGTCAGAGGTTTTACGTCAGCTACTGGTGTTATTGTATAGTTCCATCGGCAAAGGTCAAACGAACAGAGAGGCGAATATTATGTATCAAATGGCCTCGGCTCCGATTCTGATGGCACGCTTCCTTGACATTTTTTTTATTACTTGCACTCAAAATAAAAAAAATTAAAGTTTGTTAGCGTAGTCCACTTGAACCCGGGACCGTTGGGTATCGTCCCACGGCTCTGCCAACTGAGCTACCGGCGCCTGGCCAATCCAAACCAACTTTAAAATTTTCTTATTTTCGTTATTAAGAATAATAAAACATTGTTAATGCATTGAAATCCCAATACATTACAAACACTCTTTCAAAAAGTTCTCTTTTTTCTTGCATGCAAATAATCAAATGAAATGAGACAATTTTTTACGACTATTTAGCAAATCGGTCTAGCTAGCCAGCGTCTTTGAATAAACAGAAAAAAAAGAACTAAAAACGCTCAATCAAGACCCTTTCTACTTTTAGCATCGAGTAAAACCAACAATGCGTCCGCAAGGAGAGCCTGCATCACACCCACTCCTGCGCAACGAGTTGCCCGCCCATCTCTACATTTCATAAGATCTATGATCTATGCGGTTTTCGATACAAAAGACACTGTCGATTGGCACCGTCTTGATTTTGGGGAGTGACTGCAATATAAGGACGTATTTTTGAGATGAGCGAGCCATCTGCCAATGATTAATGGCTAGATCTAACACATCCTCCAATCTATGGTAGAGTCTATCAGAATTTGGTAGCCTTTGTACAAAAGCTCTGATGTCAAAGTTCTTAACCACATACTCGTATTATGTGACGAAGTTATAATGTTTTATAATCAATTCCAGAACTACAAGCTGACCTAACCAATGAAAGAGGTAGGTTCGGCAAGGATCGTTAGAAGTAGAAGGACGGAAGTCTGCCAACTCCTCTAAGAACAAAGCTTGATTCATTAATGTAGTAGATATCTTGTATGTATTTCCATTTCCTCTAGTAAGCTTTCGATATTACTCCTCGCAAAAAGCTTCACATTTCTCATGTCGTATATCACGGTATACTACCCGTTATTTCCTTTCATACCGCGTACCATTTCCCCGGTCTTTGTTGCGCCGGGTGATCTAAGTGCTTCGGAGAGTATATGAGCGTGCGAGCGAGACAAAACACTCTAACGAGAACTGAAAGCTGTCGTCTGGGGAATCACTTACCGTAGTATACGCGGAATGCGAAGAGTAACATGGAACAGGATTTTCGTCTCTGAAAATCACACATCTTCAAATAATATCAGCATTTTGCGGTCCACTGCTAGACGTAGGTCTCCCCCAGGGTATGCCGTTAAGCACTATCTCCCATTGCCAAACCGCCCTCTCATATGTCCATTGGCTGATAGTATGAAACCTTCTATAGGTAACCGTAAAGATAAGTATGGAAAACGGCAAGTGGGTATTCTTATAATTTTACTAAATAAATTGTTTTTCTTTCAGCCCCGTTCAGATTAAGCATAATTTATACAATTATGAGATCCACTTGTGAATGAATAATTAGGAAGTGGATAAACCTATTGTCACTCAACATATTTTCTGAAATAAAGGTGTTGTTTCATTTAGGTCTGTTGCATAAACCACCCACTACCTTAAATGTAATCAATTAAATCACGTTTTATCTTAAGTTTTCCCGTTTACTGCAATAAGCGATCTTATAAACCCTGAAAATCCGTCTCGAGTAAATTGAAATTGGAGGGAGACGGCATGCACTCCCATTGTTCTAGTTCCCCATTAGTGCGAGGGAGACAAAAGGTCTGGTGTGAGAGCTCAATAACGAGCCAGCCAAGGGTTGGCTGTTTCTCTTACGGCATACTCCTCTGGGGCAATATGGGAAGATTTATGTACCTATACCCCCCACTTCTCCCCCCTACTTAGGACAGCCTTACGAGTTTACTTGTATATTTGTATCCATTGTTACTCCTGTTTTCTTGATGGTTTTGCTCGGTTATTGCGTTTGTTTTATTAAATTGTTCGTGTTTGGATTTTGCCTTCCTTCCTGTTGAATACTTCCCTTAGTAGGTAACTATTTAGATTAGCAAGCAGCACAGAGTCTTACATGGATGATAATTGCAGTATGACTTTGTGCAAGAAACAATCTACATAAGTACTTACTGATAAGTACTTACTGACTAGATTGTTTCAGTTCTTGTAGTGCGCGAAAAGTTCTGCTTAAGCCATTTGTTTGAAACAGCGATGAATTTTAAACGATACCTATCTTATCTCATAAATATGGCATGAGTGAACTTTTTTTCAATAAAACAGAAATTTCTATAATATCTTACATAAAGCTTGTTACACTTGATTCCAATTTAACTGTTTATTGCACACAAGATATTACAAAGGACAAATACATTAAGAAAAACAACACAACAGGTACTGCTTATTTCTAA